AGGACGAAGCTCGCGCGTTCCAAATAGAAAGCATAAACTGCTTATATATGAACGCCGCGAGTCTACCAAACAAACTGGATGAACTACGTGAACTTAGCAACGCTAATAAGGCCCATCTGATAGGAATATCTGAAACCTGGATATCTTCTCAGTTCTCGGACCAAGAGTTAGCACTGCCTGGGATGACTTTGTTCCGCAACGACAGAAAAACAGGAATTGGGGGCGGAGTAGCCATATACATAAGCTCTTGCTTGGAGGTGCACCAGGTTCACAACCTCGAGTTTAACAATCTTGAGGAATCCATATGGTGCTCTGTAAGATTGTCTAGTACTTCCAGGTGTCTAGTCGGAGTCATTTACAGGAAGCCAACTGCCGACACCGAGTACGATAGTCGTATGCTGGAAGGACTATCCCGCTCTATCCGTCTCGGTTTCACACACATCCTGATTCTAGGGGACTTTAATCTCCCTAGAGTCAACTTCGCGGAACACACGTACACTGGAGGCGACAACTCAATTGAAGCTCGGTTCTTCAACCTCATCGATGACTTGGGCTTATATGAAAATGTGAGGTCGGCAACTCGTTGGAGAAACAGTCAGACACCATCGCGCTTAGACTGTGTATTCACTAACGAAGAATTCCTAGTCGACAACCTCTCAATCCTGGCTCCTCTGGGAAAAAGCGATCATGCCGTCATAGCCTTCAGTTTTGTCATCAAAACTAAGCTAAGGTATCCCAACAATAATTTGCGTTGGAATTTTAAACGGCTGAATGTGCCAGCTCTACATGACTATCTACAACAGGTGGTTTGGGATGTTCACCCTCAACTCGATGTGGATGGTCATTGGGACTTCTTACTGCACACGCTCTTATGTGCTACAGACCATTCAGTTCCTCAAACGGTTCCCAAAAGCTTCAAGCCACCTACAGTAATCAAGAACCGTACCCTTCGCCTCCAAAGCCGCAAACGGCACTGTTGGGCGGAATACAAACGAACTAATAACGATGGAGCGTATAGGCAATACAAACATATCAGGAACACATGCACGAAGGCTATAAGAGAAGACAGGCTTCAGTACCAAACAAAGCTTATGGACAAATTCGCCTCTAACCCTAGAAGCCTATTCCGTTATGCAGCCTCTCTTCGTCAAGCCAAAACAGGAGTTTCTCAACTGCTAGGTCTTAACGGCCCAACCAACAACGATGGCGACGCCGCTAACCTTCTGGCGGCCCATTACTCTCAAACATTTCAACCGGCTGACATCAACTTTATTGACGACAGTTTCATCTCCAACTCCACAGGACTTTCTAAAGTGGACCTAAGCGCTGACTTGGTGTTCCGGAAATTGCAGCACTTAAGACTTGACACTTCTCCTGGCCCGGATATGGTTCATCCTGCCATACTGAGGGAGGCAGCCTCAATCCTGGCAACGCCGCTTAGCGTGATGTTCTCACACTCGCTTAGCCGAGGCAAATTACCGGAAAACTGGAAGTTGGCTCACATCACACCAATTTTCAAAGGTGGTCGACGCAATGAACCTTCAAGTTATCGGCCGGTGGCTCTTCTGTCATTACCTTCAAAACTCATGGAGTCCCTGATATGCGACGGTTTAAATGACTATCTACTGTCCTTAAATTTCTTCTCACCCCAACAGCATGGTTTCAGGAAGGGTTACTCTTGTATAACCAACCTGCTGACTGCGGTGGACAAATGGACAAGCATCCTCGATTGCAAGGGAAAGGTTGACGTCATTTACCTTGATTTCTCAAAAGCTTTTGATAAGGTTAACCACTTGTGTCTTATCAACAAGCTCAAACGACTAGGTATCAAACCACCTCTAATCGATTGGCTTACTTCATACCTAAAAAATCGACACTTTAAGGTTAGGGTTAATTTCACTTTATCTCAGGCTATGGAATGTCCTAGTGGGGTTCCCCAGGGCTCAGTACTAGGGCCTCTTCTCTTCTTGATCTACATAAATGAACTTCCTCAACAGGTAACGTCAGACTTACTACTTTTTGCCGACGACGTGAAACTTTGGAGAGAGATACGCAACCAAGTCGATACACAGGCACTTCAGGAGAATCTGACGCGACTTCAAAGTTGGGCAGACGATAACGGACTTACCTTTAACACTTCAAAGTGTAAAGTAGTCCATCTGCGACATGTCGCAAACTACAGTTACAACTTAGGAAACTCCTCTCTAGTAGTATCCCAAGTCGAAAAAGATTTAGGAGTCCTGATGCCCCATGACTTAAAGTCTTACGCTAACTGTGACAAAAATGCCTTCCGAGCAAACCTTGCACTGGTAACGTTGAAGCGCATTTTTGGACAGTTTGACGGACGAACTTTCCATACAATCTTCAATAGTTTCATCCGTCCCCATTTAGAGTACGGAAACATAGTACTCCCCCCTCACTCCAAAAGGACAAGGTCACTTTGGAGCGTATCCAACGGCGAGCCACGAAATCAGTTCGAGGACTCAAATCTAAGCCTTACGAAGAACGCCTCCGTTCACTAGACCTTTACCCACTAGAATATAGGCGTCTTAGAGGTGATTTACTAATGGCTTATAGCATTCTTAACACTTCTGGACATCCTATTAAACACTTACTTAAGCTTAGTTCGAATAATAACCTAAGGGGTAACACCCAGAAACTGGAAACACAACATAGCAAGACGGAATGTAGACACAACTTCTACTCCTTAAGAGTTGTCAAAAGCTGGAATTCGCTGCCGGCCGAGCTAGTCCAAGCGACTTCTCAGGAGTCCTTCAAGAGGCAACTTGACCTATTCTTAAGGACCAAGGACAGCATCACATTATGATTTACCAATTTCTTTTCCTTTTTTATTGTTAACATACCTAGGTTCCTGCCTGGAGGATTTGGTGATCCCCTGCTACTAGACACGGAAACCTGTTAAGCGAAAGCTTCTTCTATTCCGTCCACAACCATTTGAACCCGATACGCCTGCAATAATGGGGGTATAATGCTAGATAAAAGTTCTATCACAATATTCAAGCTAACATTATTAGTCTTAATGTGATTCTGAAACTTGTACTAATACGGCGGACTTTTGAGTCCCTAGCATGCGTGGGTATTTGGAGTTTAGGGACTGTCAAAGTTGTTCAATTTTGTTGATTGGTACGTGTACGTGAGATCGTCCGAAATGAAGACTTGCCTTTTGTACTGTAGTTACTTAAAGTTTCTAGCATTCCTCACTGACATATCTCATATTTTTTAACATTTTCCAAATAAATACTGGGTTATCAAAGCATAAGAATCATCTCCATGAGACCATAATTTATGGACGACCTTTGAACGACCCTAAGCTCATATTAAGAGTACCCATCTAATAACTAGGATCAAATGAGGTTTATAAATCAACGCTAACTAGATTATGGTGATACAAATCAATAACAGACGATTCATATAGTTAGACAATATGTGTTGTGACCCAAATTAATGGACTATGAAGATTAAAGAGTCGCAATAAGCAACGACCTCAAAACTACGAGTAAATGCAAGACTGCCGCTGCTAAAGGCTTTAGAGTCACATGTGCTGTTATGTTATTTCATTGCTTGGATGAAGAATATTTAGTGTTATACCCGACTTTTATGAGACCGCATTCGGAGTATGGGATCCACGCAACGAATCCTTTTTCAAGTATGGATCAGATATGCTAAGATCGGTCCAACGGCGTGGGACCAAAATAGCAAAAGATCTCTGGTCTGTCTTATATAGACACACTGAGATGGCCCAACCTGTTACCGTTATCATATTTCAGATAAAGGGGTGATCTAATAATGGCTTATCGTTTACTGAGTGGTGATCTTCGTATTATTATTGTCTTATCTTGTCCTTCCATCTAGGACCGATCATCTGAAAGGACATGCTAAGAAAGTTCAAAACCGAAATCGAATAATTTACGTCCGGAGTTCGGTTTCTCGCTCCGAGTAGTGAATTGCTTCAATTCTCTACCAGAACACATAGTGACAGCACCTCCTGTTAATACATTGGAAGCGAGATTACACCTTCACCATGCTACAAACCAAAAGGATTAACATAGGTAGACAAACTTCCCTACTACTTGACTGAAAATATTGAGTTGTCGTTAGCAGCGTACATATTAAGTATGCCTGTCCACTTACAACTACGTTTCAAGTATATACCCTTTTTTTCACTAGTACAGTAAACGATAAAATCCTAGTAGACCCTAATCTTTCGAGGCTACCTGGGTTTTTTCACACAATAAGCACGTTCTCCTGTCATTACCAACCAAGGGTATATACTTGAGTTCATCACAAACTGATGAACTCAAGTATATACCCTTGGTTGGTAATGACAGGAGAACGTGCTTATTGTGTGAAAAAACCCAGGTAGCCTCGAAAGATTAGGGTCTACTAGGATTTTATCGTTTACTGTACTAGTGAAAAAAATCAGTTTTTTTTATAAAAATAATCGTATCATTCATCTTTAGGTGGTACCGAATATGAATTTTACAAACACTTGGATCTCATTTCAGTCCGATTGTCTTGACGGATATTGTTAACATTGACTACAGCAATTGAATACATAACTGAGTTAGATCCAAGGCTAATTATCATTCAACTAAGGAACGCCCCCAAATGCCCTGGTACGGTCTAGAGTGGGGAGAGTTCGCTCTCCCTCTCGAAATGCTCTCATATGGCCACGCCTATATAGCCTCTGCCAGGAAAGTCCTACTCACTGCCTTCTCGTGGCTGGGGTGTTGTTTACGAAAATGAGAGGACGAAAAGCGAATGTACGGCGCTTTAACCGGATTCCAAACCAATGGCGCACATGGGCTGGCTCCAGTATCCTGCGGGAACAAATGGCGTATGAACCAATCGTTGGTCACCGGCTTCCATGGGACTGCATCTCCTTACGATGCTCCACTGCCTTGTGGGTTAGACCTTTAGGTTGAAGGCTCGGCGTGTGGCTCCCTAAGAAAACCACCTGCTTCGGTTTGGGCATCCGGGCAGTATCACAGCCCTCACACATATCGAATGAGATTTGTGTGGCGCATATGTATTTGGTGCCTCCTTGTACCAATATCTATGTGTTAAAATAAAATAAATAACAACTAAGGAACGGAGACAATCAGTTGCTAGGTAGAAATAAAATATATGGTTGGGCCCAAGTGCACTGGATCATGTCGTCGCACATTATATCAGTACAGAGAAGATTAACGGGATAACAAATGAGAATGTGAACTTAATAATTCGGACATTGGTTTAAACTATGTATCTTTTTTTGACGATGACTTGGATTAATTGAACTAGGCCTCAGAGATATTCAACATATGCTTACTGGATTCTTGGGGATTGATGAAAAAAGTAGGAGCAACTATGTTTTCTTTCAGAATTGGACAAATTTATTTTGTTAATTTGTCAGGCTGATGAAGCTTTTTAGCTTGTATATTATTGGATCGAAAGGAATGACGTGTTCACCATATTATGCAAACATTACATCTATCGCTTTGTTTAAAGTTACAAAGAAAACCGATTTTTTACCAAGTCTTTTTCAGTATTCTGTATTCGATAATCCTTTTTTAAAGAAATATAGAATGTTTTGCGTACATTGGTTTGCCCATAGACTTTCATTTTTCTCTCTAATCATTTCATGATAATTTTTTCGTTATTGTATAGAAGACATTATGCAAAAGATATTTGTGAATAGTTACATAAACTTGTATGGTGTTTTCGGTAACTAGGATTTTCTCGCTAACAAGAAGCAAATTTGATGCAATAGTGCTTTATACCTGCGCGATCGATCTGGTTTTCAACTCGGATTCGACAATATGAAATGTGATGAGTCTATAAACCAGACGTACCACTTGGCGGCTTGGTCATGGAATCGATTATCTAGATCGGTTATAGTGGAATTGGTCGCCACTGTATTATGTATATACTTCATTTTCCGTTTCGCTGCTTTGTATGAGTCTGAGACTACACTTATGTCTAAGTTGATCAGTACTCTTCAACAATTATCAAATTCTTTAGATGACCATGTAAGTTAAAAACCCATATTTCAGCTGGTATTTGTCGTCATTATATTGACTGAGGAGTACCAAACACATTTTGATTCTGAAATAAACTAAAACTGCAAACTCCAGACCATTGGATTTTGGTTGCTCATCAGTAATATGTCTGTCATGAAGCTTGAATTTCTTGTGTTCGATTTCAGCGTATTGTCATAGGCTAAAACAAAGCACTAAGATAGCGTTAATTGATCTAATATAGCCCTCGACTTTTTATTTAAAGTTAATGTAATGTATCAAACATATTAAAGTGACCAATAAATGTAGCTTTAGCTTTAGTTTGGAAACGCTCCCAAATGCCCTGGTACGGTCGAGAGTAGGGAGAGTCAGCTCTCCCTCTAGAAATGCCCTCACATGGCCACGTGAATACCACTACCAGGGAAGTCCTACTCATTACCTTTTCGCGGCATTACTGTTGTTTACGAAATTGAGAGGATGAAAAGCAAATGTCCGGTTCTTTAACTTGGTTGGTGAGTAGGGAAGATCCACCTAGAGGAGTCGGAAAACCCTGATTCCTAACCAATGGTGCACATGGGCCCCAGGATCCTAAAGAAACAAATGGCATATAAATCTATTGTTTGTCGCCGGCTATCATGGGACTGTATCTCCTTGGGCTAACCCACTGCCTTGTGGATTAAACCGTTGGGTCAAGGGCTCTGGGAGTGGCCCCCTGAGAAAATCATATGCTTCGGCTTGGGTACGCGGGAAGTATCATAGTCCTCGCACATATCGAACGATTTGTTTGGCACATATCTATTTGGTGCCTCCTTGTACCATTATTTGTGTGTTTAAATAAATAAATAAAGTTTGGAAACAGTTACATGGAATGAAAAACTAATAGGTGCTTCTGTAGAGCTCCAACACACCATGGATTGTTGTTCTCCGCCAACAGACGTTCAACAGCTTGTTGTACGTTTTAACTCTGTAACATGTATTTTGTCGTTTTGATCGCAAACATTAGTCGTGGACGATCTATAAAAGCTGTTGGTTGTGAAATATCTATTTGTATCAGATATTACGCCGAATAGTATTTAAGCTCCTAGTGTATTCAACAGAACTGATGTAACTAGTAATTTTTATAATAAAGAAAATTAAGTAGGGCTAAGATTCTATGTTTTCATACAAGTGAAAAGTGCCACCATTTGCTAAGCCATTCTGTGTTGATAAAGAAATCATCCTCGAAAGTCTCGTAGCCTTATTGATATTCGTAACCATTTCTCAGGAAATATACTATTTTAATATTCGCTTATACAACATATTTTTAATAAAGTAATGATACTACAAAACAAACATTGACACTAAGGAACAACAAAGCAATTAAAATGCTGTAACGATATTATGAAGAAGTAAAGGATAAGACAATACATGGTTGAGAAAAGTAATTACTTTGGACATATTAAAATTTTTTCTCATGTTATACACTTATTAAGTCCAAAAGAATAAAAATTTGCAACAAACTAATCATCAGTTTTAAACTGAAAATTGGTGGAGTATAGTTTATACTGTTTTGTCTTTTACCATAAAGAAATTAATCGTTAGATGGATGGAGTCAGTAGAAAGGAAGTCCTGAGCTTAGGTTTCATGTTATTTGGCACTCGTCAGCAAAGTGTATTTGCAGGCTTGTGATAACGGATGTTTCCCATAGGATTTCAACCCTCACCTTTCAGGGTAACAGGGACGTTGTCAGTCGGCTATTCTAGTCGTGACATGTAGACGCTGCATACAATATTGAGTCATTTAGACCTGCAACCATATTGGAACTTCGTCGACAGAATGCAATCAGGACCATGAACTATATAAACATGATATTCGTTATAATTCAGTAATCAATCACTGAAAACCAGAATTACATGACATACTGTCATTGATGCTTGCATCACAGGTTCAGTCTGTTGAAAGCCCTTAGCAAACTTTGCATTAATGTAAATGTATTTAGTATAATTCATGCATAGTACCTTCTGTTCTTATAACCGTTTCTCATTCAAGCAATAACTAAGGGTAGTTGTGTTTCATTAACTTATAAAAATATCCAGTTCATAACTTTATTCTTACCATACGTTTCTGAAATGAAGTTTTGTGTCTCAAATGATTTTTGGGCCTCTTGTATTCTCTTTGCCAAGTGGCTTTTCTACAACCTCTCACTGTTCACCTCAACAACGCCATCAGCATTTGCTTCACGTGCAATTAAACTGTTAACAATTTCATAAGAGCTGTTTTGATGGACTTGTTTGTTAATAATTGTCTGTTAAGGTTTTGCCAGCTTCATTTGTCTTTTTGTTCTTGTTAACTGTTTTGGTCGATTGACCCCTTGCCAAACAATTCGTTGATCGCTTTTAAATAGGTTGGCAAATAAGATCGATTTTGATTTACCTACCGATTGCAGACTGACCTGAGTCCCATGTTTTTGGAAATTTCCTTTGAATTTCCTCGATCAAGAGTTTAGTGTTTTTCTAAACAAATTCGTGCCCCCGGTTGTCTCTGTGTACATATATAAGTGATGATATTTCATGGAGTATTAGTGCTAGTTTATGTTCTGGTATGAGTATATAAAAGAGTTACCCACTTTATCCAAAATAATACTTGTTGCAATTAATGGAATCTATTCGTCGATAATGTCATTTATTTTCTTTCCCTGTTTTGTCTTTGAGTCTGTATAAAATGAAATAATCAACTTCTGTTGGTACGTGAGCTATTTTGTATCCGAAGGGCTTGAAGGTCATTTTGGTGACTTCTGAAATGTTAATCCCATGTTATAGGACAATTTGTTTTCTGGTTTATGAGGATAATTTTGTGCGCTGATGTGTTCACTTGCTAGACAATTTTTGATGAATCTTTCACGATGACCATTTTTACTTGAGATTAACAGAAGGCAATCTGTAAATCTGTGCATTGGATTGGAAATTTTTTTTAGAACAGATCATTGAGTTCTTCCAAACGTTACCACTCCAGAGATAACCGTCCGTACATAAGGTCATCAAAAAAAGAGTATTTAGCACCTTTGGAATAATTGAACGGCTCATTTGTACATGAACTAAGCGCTGAGGGTTTTACCTAAACGACAATGAAAGTTTCACTAGAAAATCACTTAACCTAGAGGATGGAACGAAGCTTATGTACACGTTCACAAACCAGATAATAATATTTTAGACGTACTCTTTTCTTCGAGAAATAACCTGGGTTTACATCATTATTTTTAATTGTCTCTTGCATGTAATAATTTGTATTGTCTTTTTATTGAAAACTACAGATAATGTTGCAAATGGAACTTCATTCAAAACTGAAGAGGACAAACTTGCCACCTGATAAAGTTACTATTCCAGTTTTAGTGATAGCTTGTAATCGTCCAACTGCTAGTCGTCCTATTGATAAACTATTACAGTTAAAATCCGAAATGCTGAAGCAAAACAATTTTGAATTTCCGATTTTCGTTTCACACGCTTGCGATGACCATGCTACTGAAAAAGTTTTACGTTCCTATCAGGATAGCATTACTGTCATAAAACCAAAAGCCCCGTTAATTAATCCAGGTAGAAATTTTAAATTTACAATGTATTATTTAATATTTCATGGTTGTCTGCCCCGACCAAGTGTATTCGAGTGAAAAGCCTTCTTAATTTGGTCTACTTTGGTGGATATTTTAAAGATGAACTTGGGTTCAAAGTCTCTTGATTGATGAAGTCGAAGGTAACCTTTACGTCGAAGAATACAACTACAATAAGACGCCGAATATATCTATATTCCAATACCTATTGAACGATTAATATTTGGTTGACGCATCCACAACTGGTTCCGGAATTCGCCTAATTTTCTCCCGTTCTCTGTTCCCAAGCTCCAGTTAACGTATGATAGATAGAACAATATAACCCTTGTTCTTAGTTGCTTCTAGATTGAGATCTCAGAGATGATTTAAATCAGTGGCTTATAATTCTAGGTAATACGACTGTAAATCAATAACAACTGAACAAAACTATTTAGTTCCTCCTTCATTCATATTTATTCTGATATATTTTAGTTGGTACCAATTTTGTTTCTTCATGCATTTGTAAAGTATGATACCTTAAATCGATATGCTTCTATGAGGTTCTACCTCATCTGTGTATAGGTTCCTTCTAGCTAATCCTGATAGATTAAGCCTTTCATTCATTTAGTTACTGTACCGTGAAGTGTTTGGGAACTTCAACTAATTTATTTCCAAAATTAGGAGCTGAATAGTGCTATATATCTGCATGTTGTATGTTAATCAAATTATGCTTTGTGATTGCGAATGAGACTGTTCATTGTGTTATTTTCATAGTGTTATTACTGTGATGTTGATTGAAAAAGATTTATGATTAGCGTTTGTGTGTAAGCAGGCCATCGATTGGATTAATTCATATTCCATTCAAGATGACGTTGGAGCACTCTGATTGGCCTATTTCTAACCAGACAGTCAAGTATAGTCATGGTTTAATAATATTCTTATTTCCTCATATATATACCGGTAGACGAAACTGTACTGTATTAGCCTGTAAAACTTTTGACTTGTAGTAAACTTCATTTATCCACGACATGTTTCCAAATGTCGTTTAAAAATATTGCTTTGTCTTGTGTAACTAAGACTGGTCGTTTAATTAATCAGAACCCGAATTTGATTATTGAAGATCTTTGCACATTCATATCATCATTTGGTTTGTAGGATGACTTGAATCTTCTGTTTCTTGATTTTCCTTCATTCCATTTATAGTTCAAAGCTCTTCTCTTAAAGTATTTGAAGGTTACAGACATGTTAGCCATCATTATAAATGGGCTTTAGATCAAATTTTTATGGCACATAATTATTCGACTGTAATAATCGTAGAAGATGATCTGGATTTGGCTCCAGATTTTTTAAGTTATTTTGTTGGTGCATACAATCTTTTAACTCAGGATAATACACTTTTCTGTGCATCTGCCTTTAATGACAATGGGCGACTTCAGTTAATCGATATTACACGTCCCGAATTATTATACAGGTTAGTGGCTATTATTTTTGTTTATTTTTGTATATTCTAAATAAACTATAGGAAGTAATTTCCTACAGGTGTAATTCTAAACTATTATCTGGACTTCTGAGCACAGAGTCTTAACTTAGCCAAAGTCAGAACAAGTAAGCTATTTGGTTTGATAAAATTTATCTGTTTCTAAAATGTAAATTAACACTGTTAGTATACAAAATAAACAATTCAGTCTATTAAACAGGGAAAAGTAGAGAAATAAATAACATACCGAACAGTAACTAGAGGATAGGAAAAATGAGTCAACAAGCGAGTAGTTTTATAATGAACATCAAATTGTGATGGGTGAATATATATATATATATATATATATATATATATATATATATATATATATATATATATATATATATATATATATATACTTAAACAGGAGTTCAGTTGTTCACAGAATAACCTTTGTTGCATAATATTCATGTGTAGCATCTATTTAAATTTTCAACTTTTTCCCATATTTATCAAAACGATCTAGTTTTTGTTTTATGCAATAAGGTTTTTTAAAGGAAACGAATAAGTGTATAAATAATATATGTATATGCAGAGTTTCCAACTGAAAAAATAATAACATTGAAGTAATGCACTTAATTTTATTTTCTCCCTGATTTATTGTGTTTGTATTTTACTCTTCTCACTATCAGAACTGATTTCTTTCCTGGTTTGGGTTGGATGTTATTGAGAAAATTTTGGCTAGAAATCCGTAAAGGATGGCCCGATATATACTGGGATGAATATATGCGTAAATCTTATGTACGTAAAGGTCGAGCTTGTATTCGACCAGAAATTAGTCGTTCTATTACATTTGGACGAGAAGGTATATCTAATGGTCAATATTTTGATAGTCATTTAAAATATATTAAGTTAAGTAGTGCAAAAATCAATTTTCAACAGCTAGATTTATCATATTTGAAAGAAGATGTTTATCGTGATGAATTCAAGCAACTAGTTTATGAAGATTCAGTGGAAATTAGCTTTAAACACTACATGAATAATCGCAGTTCATTACCACACAATTCAAAATCTATCCGAATAACATATGAAACTCGAAAAGAATTTGAAGAAATTGCGAAAGCTTTAGGAATTATGTTTGATTTCAAATGTGGTGTAAGTCGTAATGCCTATATGGGGGTGGTACCAGTGTTTGTGAATGGTCATCGTTTGTATATTGCCCCACCTTCCAATTGGTCAGGTTATAATGAATCATGGGTATAGCGAAAGTTTTTTCTCACAAAATTATTAGGATGGAAAAAGCTCATTCGTTATTCTTTTCTTAGTAACTTATAAAATGTTTTCTACCGTTTCTTTCTACTTATTATTTACCTTACTTTTTTGTTCTTGCATAAGACCTTTGTTTCTAAAATGATGAAAATATGGGAAACACGAAATATTCTGTATATTGTTCCAATTTCTGCACATGTATATTGCTATGGACACATGTAATTATAAAATTTTCTGTCTTACATTATTTCAGTGCTCTTGCATTGTTTCTTTTTACTGGTAGATGTGTATGTATGCATTATTAGGTGATTAAATAGTTCCTTATGTTTTCTGAATTCTTTTGTATTTCTATGGATTGTCCACCTGTATTTTGATGAACAATATAAAATTCTCTACAATGATGTACATATTTATGTGATATTATTTGTTATTTTCTTGTATCATAAATGAAGTAAGTAAACGAGTGTAAGTGATTAATTCTCATTGAGTAGATTTATTTTTAAAAAGTTTTTTCCCAGTGTAACCAAGACAAAAAAAAACTCAGAATATAACTATGTCGTTATTAACTATTTACACAATATATTATTTCATAATTGTACATTTTTATTCTTTTCTATTTGCCTTACCTTCTTGATAAAAAAAAGAATGTTCTACCATATATGTTTTCATGAATTCAAGATGAAGTAGATTTGTCAATTATTGTTTGGTTTGTTTATGTTTATATTTCCTATGAAGAAGATAAAAAGTTGATATTTTTTTGTTTTTCACCCACTGAACTCTTAAATTCCATTGCAACATAATAGTCCCTAATAATTAATGGCCTAGAGTGAATTATGAATTATAAAACGGTGCATTTTATGTTGAAGGTTATTTACATCGTTTTCAATATTCACGAAGAATATTATGCTAAACACTGTTATTTTTCTGTTCATTTAATGGATAAATATCACATATTAAATTCTAATTTTTACTAAAAATTACATTTCAGTCATTTAAAGTTATCATTTTAGTTGCCTGCCATGAGCAAATCATTTTAGCGACCCTCCTACATACAGGATAAAATACACAAATGTTTTAAAATTTCCAGTGTAAATGAACAGAAAAATGACCACAAGTGCTGAGTATAACAGACTGGAAATTTTTAAGAAGTGTGTAGTTAAACTAGTCTTTCTGTTGTTGCCCTGGTACGGCCGAGAGTGGGGAGAGTCCGCCCTCCCTCTCGAAATGCTCTCACATGGCCACGCGTATATAGCCTCTGCCAGGGAAGTCCTACTCACTGCCTTCTCGTGGTGGGGGTGTCGTTTACGAAAAGCGAATGTCCGGCGCTTTAACTGGATTCCAAACCAATGGTGCACATGGGCTGGCTCCAGTATCCTGTGGGAACAAATGGCGTATGGACCAATCGTTGGTCTTTTGTGAATTCATGGGACGACTTACATTTACCAGTCTAGTTTTATCACACATCAGAAAATTTCTGATTTTTCTTTAAGCTTCATTCTATCAATAACCTTTCTGGAAGTCTAGTCTTGTAAAATCGTTACCCCTTGTTCATTTTGACAACTATTATCAGGAATTTACGTTGAATGTCGCCGGTTATTTCATACCTCATTTAGACTATCTGAATAATCGGACATATTAGTTGTTTCATTAGACTTATTGATGATATAAAGAACGAAGCTAATTCTAGATAGCTTATTAGTTTTTATCACAGGATGTTCGTAGGCACAGGTCAATGTAGTTGTTCAGTTGATATCGTGAAAAGTCAGGACTCTCGTTGTGTTACATTCTCTGAGCTGAACAATTTTTCTGCGAAACATTCGCTACTGTTCTGTACATCAGAACATACTTCTAGTAGAAGTAAGCTTCTTGACCATTCCACAAACTATAAATCCGTCCTTTGTGATCACTGTTTCCAACTGTCTGCCTTCACTCTTTCATTATCTTTATATGTCATTGTACTTTGATTGACTGTTTTGCTTTGTTGAACTGTGACCATGTAGTTGTTTGAGCTTCTTCAAACAGATTGATAAATTATGTTTTTATTGATGTGGTTGTTCATTTCAGATTGACCCGTATCATGACATTTTCTCAGTGAAATTTGTATCGGGACCAGTGTTAATCCTAGTCTGCGAAATCCATCGGTTATTTATTGAGGTCACACTAAAATTAACATGACTTTCTAAATCTTTTATTAAGACAAACTACACTTCCCAAATCAGAAGCATAAAAGTGACCAGTTTAGTGAAATAATCCAGCTAAGAATTGTTGATCTTAACACAAATATCTATTCTCAGTGTTCAAACAGTCCCATATCTTGTTAAGGTGATTTATTACTTGGGATGGTTCCATTTCCATGTTCATTGCATCAGAAATTCGTCATTGATTTCTTAAATAAATGTTTAGCTAACCAGAATCCCATCATTTACGGTTCTCGAAATTCACTACTCACTAAACGTGACTTCTGCTTACAACTAATCACATTAGAGATTAATTACTTCGTTTTTCGGTCATCTCGATAACCGTTATAACATAAATTCTCAACGGTGTTTAAAATCAGAAGGCAATGAGAAGCGGTAACTACAGTTTATTAGGGGATAGTGCAGATCACAAAGCTATAAACCGATCACGTGAATTTGAAGCGGATAGGCGAATAAGTATATGCGAGCAATTACATAGTCAAATTGCATAAGGGCGTAGCAAGGACTAATCAAAGGATTTGAGTACATATATACATGGGGAAGAGAATGAATCACTGAGTGATATTTAAGCAACCAACTTTTTATTTAAAGTCTGTCGTGTGATCTAGTGATCATAACGGTACAAAGAAAATGCGGATTGTTACTGTTCAAATAACATTGTCTGTTAAGTAAGTTAATAAAAGGGTTTAACCATAATCAAAATTAGTTGTAGGATAGTTGCTATGATCATAAGTGAATGTTAAACTAAACGAACACTTGCAATGAAAAATAAAAAGAATCGATAGTTAATTGAAAGCCAAAAGCAATAATGAAATTAGTCATAAACAGGGTCTGCAGACATCACTGATAATGCATTATTCGATTTCTGACTGACGAATTAGAAGGTATTCTACACAGTATTTCTGCATACACTTCAGTTTCATTATTTCGCTTGTGGTAAACTCGATGGTTTTACGACCGGTGTATACTATGTACCAGAAGTCTGTAAATTTGGCTTTAATAAACCCTGTGAGACTACCTTCAAAACTATCCAGGAAATATTTTGTTGCACCTCAACAAGAACCCTTACCGTAAATCCTGCGTGCGTCAAATGTGCGAAAATATGTACAATGTATATGCTTCACTTGTGGTGATAATGAATTTGATTTTCGCCGAAAAAAGAAACAATGATGAACTTATAATTGAGTTTCCAAAACCATCATTCCTTATTATACCTAGAAGTACCAAGACTGTCATTCTTTTAATCCTATTCATTCAGATATGTAGTGAACATTCTTTTGTTTTTGAAAAAAAAGTGAATGACTGTACATTATTTACATAAAGATAGATTACATTGTACATTTTTGTTAATTTTTTGGTCACATAATCTAGTTAAGTTATTCTTATGTATTTTATACTAATGTTCATTCAACCATAATGCATTCTGAATAATTTCTTACACATTATAAATGAGACGTTTATACATCGGAATTAGGGATTCATCAATATTCTGTGTTTTTTTTTATGACTAACACTTTCTACCTCAAGCATAAATAATTACTTACGCCTGTTACTCCTAATGGAGCATAGGCCACCGACCAGTATTCTCCAACCCACTCTGTCCTGGGCCTTCTTTTCTAATTCCATCCAATTCTTGTTCATTTTTCTCATGTCCATAAATAATTAAGATACATTAAAGTTACATAGTTATTTTTTCAAAAGGAATGTGCTATTAAAAATACAGAAATAGTTTAGGTGTTTTCAAATCATTGATTAAAAGTTCAAGGTTTTAATTTATATTACAAATTTGATTCTTAAAAATCAGTGAAACAATGTAAAGTTTAACCTTCAGTATACTACAAATTGAGTTGTTTAGTTTATTATTTTCGTAAAAAAAGACATTTATTGACAAACAAAGTTCACCATAAAATGATCATATACAAACAATATTATTTCATTGTACAAACATCGGTCGATTTAATTTAATTATTTTTACACTCAAATGAGAATATCAGTTGACAAATGTTACTTTAATAATTGAATTCATGAGTCATTTGAAATTAGACTATCATGGAAAACCTGGAAGCACAGGACGGCCGTCTCATCCTAGTATGAGACTCTTCAGCAGTGCGCATTCACGATCCCTCCCCGCGCGAGATTCGAACCTAGGACCTGTCAGTCTCGCGCGCGAACGCTTAACCTGTAAACCACTAAGTCAGTATCCAACGGTGTTAGTGTCTAACTTCAACCAATCCACGGGATTGCGCCACTGTCCAACATTGGTATTAGTGAGTTACTATCTCACAATAGACCCGGTTGAACTCTACTAGTCATGGCTTCTCACTAGAACTCCAGGAAATAACTCTTGGAAACAATCACTTTATTTACAGAATGATAAATTATCAATCAACTCGAAATTATTTGGATATTCTGATGAATGTGTGTCGGTAAGTAAATCTCCAGAATAAATAGTTCTGTAAGTCTTCAACACTTCATGCTGACCTCATTATTTTTGATAGACACATCTAGTAAAGGCGCTCTGTCATGCATATGCACCAGGTCACAAGTAGGTACATTGTGTTGCACATCTACAACTGTTAGCCAACTTTGTTCGAATGCTTCTCTAAATATCGGTAGCCTTTCACATATATATTCGAACCTCTTCACTTCTGATTTGACTGGGTTGTCATACTTCGATTATAAAGATTATGGCAACTCACGTACATTTAAGTTTGTTCACATTTAATTTGGTTAAACCCTCCTGTTAACTTAGTTAATGGACAGAGTCATTCGTACAATAACAACTCAGCTATGCCATTGTACATTTATTAATGTTGTGCTTGTATGAATGTGTGTGCTTGAGCATCGCTTACCGCCTACGCACATATTCATTCTGCTAACTTTAGTGTTAGTCGCTTAAATGATTCGATGACTCATTCATTTCCCTATGTATATGTACATGTACATTTTAATCTTATTAATTTGACTCGCACGCCCATTCACTCGCTCACTCGCTTGCTTTTCCGCATCAGCCTTTCATTCTTGCTTAGTGCATTATCATACTCAAGGTGGTTGATGGATAGTGAACAATTCCATTCAAATGATTGTTCAACGATGATCCGTAGTGTCGCAATTTGGTCTGTGCAAAACCGATCTTTACGGAATTCGATCTGCTAATTTCGAAGTTGAGATTCTACTGAATCCTTCATTCGGTTCAGCAACACTGTTGAAAACCTTTCCTAGTACAGATAGTGGTGTGGTGCCTCTGCAGTTACCACATTTGTTCAGGTCTCCTTTCTTCGGTGTATTGATGAGATGTCCTTTTTCCCAGTCTGCCGGTGGCACTTGTTCCTTGTCCCAAATCTTCCTGATTGGGTCATGGCGCATGTTCGCAGTCCGTGCTGTGTCTCACTTCGGCACTTCAGCTGGTATATTGTCAGGTCCCGCTGTTTTCCAACTCGTAACTTGTCTGATGACCATCCTGATTCCTTCGAATGATGGTGGAGTGACATTGATGGGGAGGTCTGTAGGTGCTGCTTCGATGTCCGGTGGATCCAATGGAGCTGACCTATTCAAGAGCTCAAAGTATTCTACCCACCTATCTCTCTGTTCTTGAATCTCGATGTGTCTTGCCTTCTTTGTCCTTAACCAGTCTCTCTGGTTTACTATATCTCCCTGCCAGTTTCTTCGTTGTGTCATATGGTTGCTTCATATTTCCTTCTCTCGCAGTTTTTTCAGCTGTCGTTGCTAGATCTTGTACGTATTTCTGACTGTCAAATATAATGCTCTTCTTCA